TTAATGTTAATGACACTAGCAACTCTGCATCTGCTAGTAAAGAGAGTTCTACTAATCCATGGCATGAGGTGGCAAAATTAATATGCAAAATAGCACCACCAATAGATCATGTACTTGTGAGAAGTGATGCTCTAGGTGATCGGATATTTGATATTTTTCTGCAATTTTGTCAGAATTTTTGTGTTTCTGGTTTTTGTGTTTCTCTAGAGAACCCAATCCAACACAAGGATCATGTCATCTGCAAGTAGAGATAACTTTACTTCCTATTTGCCAATTTGGATGCTTTTTATTTCTGTTTCTTCCCTTATTGCCCTGGCTAGGACTTCCAATACAATGTTAAATAGAAGTCGGGATATAAGCAACTCTACAATAGCATTAGAAGACTTTAACATACCACTTTCAAGGAGGGACAGATCAACTAGAAAAAAACTCAACAAAAATACAGAAGAACTCAACACTTGACCTCTTAGACACATACAGAGAACTCCACCCAACAAAAGCACAATAGCACAATTCACATTTTTCTCCAGTGCACATGGATCATTCTCCAGAATAGATCATATGTTAGGACAAAAAACAAGCCTCAATTAATTCAAGAACATTGAAATACTACAAATGTTATAAAATTGGAAATTGATTAATACAAAGATAAAGGAAAAAAACATCAAACATGTGGAACTTGAATAGTGCACTGCTCATAAACTACTGGGTAATAGACAAAATAAAGAGGGAAATGAAAAAATTTCCTTGAAACAAACAAGAATGAAGATACATCTTACCGAAACATATGGGACACAGTGAAAGCAGTACTCAGAGGTCAATTTATAACAATAAATGCACACATCAAGAAAGAGGAAAGAAACAAAATCAACACTCTAACTCAACAACTCCAACAATTAGTAAAAAAGCAACAAAAGAAATCTACAGTAACCAGAAGTAAGGAAATAATAAAGATCAGAGTAGAAATAAATGAAACAGAAAACAAAAAGAGAGAAGATCAACAAAACAAGAAGCTGGTTCTTCAGAAGATTAACACAACTGACAAACCATTGGCAAATCTAACAAAGGAAAAGAAAGAGAAGATGCAAATAACAAGAGTAATACATGAAAAGGGTGACCTCACAACAGAACCAACTGAAATAAAAAAGAAACTATGACAGAATATTATGAAGAACTGTACACCAACAGATTTGAGAACCTAGGAGAGATGGACAAGTTTCTAGGAACACAAGACCTACCTAAACTATCCCAGTTGGAGATAAAATACTTGAACAGACCTATAACAAAGGAAGAAATTGAACAGCTCATAAAAAAAACTTCCCACAAGAAAAAGTCTTGGCACAAATGGCTTCACTGGAGAATTTTACCAGACATTCAGGAAGAGTTGACACCTATACTACACAAGCTGTTCCAGAACATAGAAACAGATGGAATACTTCCAAACTCATTATATGAAGCAAACATAATAACACTGATACCAAAACCAGGGAAAGACACCACTAAAAAGAAAAACTGTAGATGCAAAAAATCTTCAACAAAATTCTAGCCTACAGAATCCAATAGCATATTAAAAAAATAATACATCCTGACCAACTGGTATTCATACCTTGTATGCAAAAATGGTTCAATATCAGAAAAACAATGTAATCCACCACATAAAACAAAAGAACCATATGATCACATCAATCAACACAGAAAAGACATTTGATAAAATCCAACACCTGTTCCTGTTCAGAACTCTCAGCAAAATAGGGATAGAAGGGAAATTCCTCAACATAATAAAGTGCATAATGCAAAGCCAGTGGCCAACATTATTGTTAATAGAGAAGGACTCAAAGCATTCCCCTTACAATGGGAAAAAAGAACTTTCTTTTGTTTAGAATCTGTATGTGTGTAAGATCCATTAAATCGTTTTAAGATTTCTAATATAACTTACTATAACTGTAGAACAGTTTGCACCTTTTGGTTTAAATCTGTAGTAACTTGGATTATCTGATAAAATTATAGATTAGACATAGCTTTTTGTTTTGTGTTTTTATTTTGCTTTCTTTATGGCACATACTCACTGTTGGACTTTGGAGAAGGAGTACCTCTTAAGTAAGGCACAGAGGTTCTTGGTAAAGCTTCTTTACCCCAGCATACAGGCCATGCTGGAGACAGCTGAGACTGAGTCCTAGTGAGGAGATAACCCATTTCTATCTAGTTGATACCACATCTTTCTCCTTCAGAGCAGGTGGGTTTGAACCACCAACCTTTTGATTACCAGCTGAGCACTTTAATCACTCTGTCATGTGAAACTGACAGTGCTGCCACTTACTTAATATTTGTTCTATGAGTAATCAAAAACTGTGTCCAAAACTATTCCTTTAGCTTCTTTGGTCATACTTGTTTTACTTATTAAACAAAGAAAAGAAAGTTGGGAGCTAAAGGATGGTGAATTGCTGCCAGTGGCTGGCACTGTGAAGGCTTTGGTGGAGCACACACCAATAAACATCACATGAGGAAATGTTTGTGGTGTTGAAAACAGGATAGGCATAAACTTCAAGCAATATTTAATCCTTCAGATGTGCATCTCCTTTAACACACATGTGAGGATACCAACAGTGAGGTTAGAAGGGGTTACTTCCATTTTACCAGAAACTAAGCCTCAGAGAGGGTATTCATGGTTGTACAGATGGAGAGATAAAGAATCCCAAAATGGCAGGGTTATAGAGTATATTGGAGCCAAATGAGAAGAGAGAAAATTGAGTTAGAACCAAGCTGACTTTTGATTAAGACTGACTCAGGGGTCATATCATCCAGAGGAAGTGGAGTGCCTAGCCACGAAGAGAATTTGTTGGAGGATGGTGGAAAATTAATAGATAGAGGACTATAGCATTTGACCTCAGGTTCTTGTGGATGTTTGAGAGCAGGGCTTCTGGATGTGTTTTAGGTAAGAGATTCTTATTCTCTGACTTATTGTTAATATTTTCTAGGTTCACTAGCTTTCATGTCATGCTCTCCAGTTTTAAAATATAATTAAAATTATGCCTAATGCTCCACTAATTCTTTGCTAATATATATAAAGAAACGTGTGTGTGTGTGTGTGTGTGTGTGTGTAAAACTAAAGTGCCTAATGCATTGACTACTAACCAGAAGGCTAGAAGGCTGGCAGTTCAAACCCACCAGCCACTCCTTGGAAGGAAGGTTGGGCAATCTACTTCCATGGTGATACTGCCTGGGAAATCCAAGGAGGCGTCACTATGAGTCAGAGATGACTCAATGGCACATAACAACAACATTAATAAAAACATTTCTATGATGTTTCTCAATCAACCAACACAAAAATCCATTGTATAAATCACTAAAATCAAAGGTAACCAAAAGCCAATCCTCTTATCCATCAAACCATACAACCAGTTCAGAGACCAAACATACCTTTTTTCTAGATCCCTGCATGTTAGATAATCATTAAATAAATAAATGAGTAATAAAACTCTGGGATCTTTTAACAGAAAAGGAATATTGGCCTTGGAAGTAATTTATAGCAGAGGGAACTGAGGCAAAAGAAGATGAAGTGAATTCTCTACTCTTCTACTATTTCATGGCAGAGTAGGGTCCAGAGCTTTATTACAAGGCTTCCAGCCCATGGTGATTTCCATTAACATCACTTTTCTCTCTTCCTTCCCTAAGCATTTATTTTCTTTCTCATTGATATGTTTAACTTAAGGGCAATTTATCTAATTTTATCCTTATAGATGCACATTTCTCATTTCCTGTTATTGCAGAAATAATTAAAACAGGAGAGTTATTCTGTCTTTTGAAAACATATAATTCATAGAACTTGTTAAATATCATAGAACATGACTTTGTATTAAAAACCTGAAAAGTCAGAACTTTCCAGTTTAATAATTATATTGCATTATAGTTTTATGTTAATTCATTGAGTTGTACTCAGGAAAATATTTTCCTTTCTCTAAACCTTGGTGTTTTATTCCTTCTTTTTTTTTCTTTTGAGACTTTCTTTTCTCTCTTGTCCTATATTTCTTCCTTCTTTTTGTCAAGGAAAAAGTTTATTGACCCAGATTCTAGATCTTTAAAGTTAACAAAACCAGACATTATGCTCACACTTATGGAGCACAGTCTAGTGGGGGAAGCCCAATGACACAATTAAAAACAAGTATATATACAATTACTAGTTGTGTTAAGTGCTGTGGTAAGAAAGAACAGGGTGCTATGAGAGAAGAGATGGAATTTGGTTTTGAGGATTCAAGAATGGTGTTCTAAGGAAGTATTGTTTAGGCTGAGGCCTAGAAGATAAGTAGGTGCTGGTCAGGTAAAGAGCAGGTGAAAGATACGAACACATTGCAGATACAGTACTTTTGAAGGCATTTTAGCAGAAAGGAGTAAGCCACTGGGTTCAGGATGGGCGGACAGGAAGGAGAGCTCAAAGAACCAGGCCTGCTGCCCCCGAAGCTCTGTGAGCCACATGCAGCAGCTGCAGTTTTTGCCAGAGGTGCCCATTGAACAAAGCAGGGTAGTGACAGGGCAACGTTTGCACTTTAAAAAGACAGTTTTACAAAAGACGGGCATATGAGCTGAACCTTTACATTAAGTAGATACATTCCTTGGAGAGATCATTCATGGGAGAGTAGAAAGGCTGTATAGGTACAAGGAGACAGCTGGGGTGGGGTTGGGTGGGCAGGTGTGATAGTTGGAGCTGTGTGTCAACTTGGCTGGACCACAATTCTGTGTGGTTTGAGCTGTTGTGTTGTAGTTGTTCCTATGATGGGATCAGATGACTATGTTTTGAGCAGCCAATCTGTTGAAAGGGGGTTTCCCTAGGGGTGTGGCCTGCTTCCAGTATATCTGTGGACATGTTGGGAGAGGAGACATTCTTCTATGGATCGGGATTCTCTTGTGCTGCTTACAACTGTCCATGAGTGAACAATCCACCATTTGGCCTGGAGATCTTGGATTCGTCATTCCTTGGAGTCAACAGCCTGTATACTGTCTGCCAGCTCTGAATTCCTCAGCCCCTGTGGCTGCAAGAGTTGGGAAAAGCCTCCAGCTTGACATGGAAAAGGCTCCAGCTTGACATTTGATCCAGGAACTTTGGACTTGCCAGCTTCTATAAGTGTGTGAGGCATTTTCCTAAGATCTCTCTCTCTCTCTCTCTCTATGTGTGTGTATATATATATATATATATATATAACTTTACTGGTTTTGTTTCTCTAGAGAACCCAGTCTAACACATTTGGTACCAAGAGTGGTTCTAGAGAGACAAAATCATAAGGATGGGCTTCCTAAATTGGTTCTCCAGTTTGATTAATCTTAAAGACACTAGTGACTCTGCTTCTGTTAGTAAAGAGGGCCCTGCTAATCCTTGGTGTGAGGTGGCAACATTAATACGCAAAATAGCACCACCAGTAGATCAAGTACTTGTGAGAAGTGTTGCTCTGGGTGATTGGATATTTGATACTTTTCTGCAATTTTGTCAGCATGAGGAGTATAAAGAAGCTGGTTGGTTGGTCCTACTTACACTAGACAAAGTAGTGAAAGAGCGAGATGAGCTCAGAGCTGCTGAGTCTCGGTTTAAGCGCTGAATAAAAGACCTCAATGCTTCCAGTTGTGCTCTGAAAGAATGTCTTATATCTTCTAGTAACAGAGCAGATATTGCTGAAAACCAAATCCAGAGTCTTATTGTAAGGGTGACTGAATTACAACACCAATTAAATTGCCAACCCAGAATGGTGTCCAAAATTAAAGTGAGGGCATTGATTGGGAAAAAATGGGATCCTGAAACCTGGCATGGCAACATATGGGCAGAAGATAGTCAGGAAGATCAGGATATGGAGGCTGTAAATTCTGTTGAATCCCTCCCATCTGAAGGGATCACTGTAAAGCCATTAACTCCTCCATCTCAGTTTGATGGGATTAGCCCAACGGTTTATAATTGTCCTAATTTAGAGATTATGTATAGTTAAGAAGATGTGTACAACTTCCAAGTTGACAAGAGGTAGACTGTGATAGTTGGAGCTGTGTGTCAACTTGGCTGGACCACAATTCTGTGTGGTTTGAGCTGTTATGGTGTGGTAGTTCCCATGATGGGATCAGATGACTATGTTTTGAGCGGCCAATCTGTTGAAAGGGTGTTTCCCTAGGGGTGTGGCCTGCTTCCAGTATATCTGTGGACATGCTGGGAGAGGAGACATTCTTCTGTGTATTGGGATTCTGTTGTGCTGCCTACAACTGTCCGTGAGTGAACAATCCACCATTTGGCCTGGAGTTCTTGGATTCATCATTTGTTGGAGTCAGCAGCCGGTGTACTGCCTGCCAGTTCTGAGCTCCTCAGCACCTGCGGGTACAAGAGCCAGGAAAAGCCTCCAGCTTGATGTGGAAAAGCCTCCAGCTTGACGTGGAAAAGTCCACGTCCAGGAATTTTGGACTTGCCAGCTTCTGTAAGTGTGTGAGCCATTTTCCTAAGATAAATCTCTCTCTCTCTCTCTCTCTCTCTCTCTGTGTGTGTGTGTGTG